TTTAATTGTGAACAAGATTAACAGTTGATGCATAATTGGAAAACATGGGTATTGTGTGAGTACTCTTTTGGTGGGTCTGTATGTTTAGTTTATAGATTGTGATATCTCGAATTTGGGGTGTGTATGTAGATACCGTGTATTTGGACCATGGTGGAGCAACTCTGTATTCAGAATTTCAAATGGAAGATGTATTCAAGGACTTGAATTCCACTCTCTATGGAAATCCCCGTATCCTAATTTTTTGTTTTTTCGTTTGGGAGAAAGTGTTTTGCTGTCTTCTCATGAATATTGGTATGTAGAATGAACTTCTTAATTCGAAAATATGGTAATAGATAGCCAGAGCAACTGCAGCTTGATGACAAGTGATGTTGTGGGTGACGCTCGCCAACAGGCAAGTCGTTATCTTTCATTAGCCATGTGTTGAAGTCGTTCAGTGGACTCGCTTTGAATTACTATCTCATACTGTGTCAATATTTAGCCTTAACATGACTGAGATTTACTTCGACAATTGATTTGCTGGAAAAAAAAAAAAGATGTATGATTGATTTCTCTTCTGAAATCTTAGAATAAAGTTTTGGCGTATGTATTAAGGATGGCATGTGATGTGTTTATGTAGGTCCTTAGTTTCTTTAATGCTTCCCCTGGAGAGTATAAATGTATATTCACATCTGGGGCAACAGCTGCTTTGAAGCTTGTGGGTGAAACGTTTCCATGGAGCAGACAGAGTACTTTTATGTACACCATGGAGAATCACAACAGTGTTCTTGGGATCAGAGAGTATCCTTTTTACTCCAATATTTTGAATAATCTCAATCTGGGATAATGCATGCCAATCTTTTTCTTCCTCGCATTTTTCAGTTACTTTAATAACGAAAGATGGGTGTGTCTTGTAGCTGCATTTTCTAGGTTTTCAGCAAAACGTGGAACATTTAAATTGCAAATATTTGTTACCTTAATGTCTTTTAACAGATATGCTCTCGGTAAAGGAGCTGTAGCTGTTGCTGTAGACATCGAAGACATTGTCGATCAAGGCCGTAATGGGAAATCTGACATTAAGATTGTGCCGCGTACTGTACAGAGAAGAGGTGAAGCTGGATGCATAATGAAGGAGCAAACAAGTTGAGTGATTCAGTTATCTGCCACATCATCATATTTCTTTCTTCTTCTTTTTCAAATTAAAACCAGCACATGCTGAATATAGGCCTAATTGTGCCAATATGTAGATGATGTTTCATTTCATTTACCAACTTTGATTTTGCTGGAAGGACTTTTCATCAACGTGAAGCATTAAAAAAATAATGTGCTCAGTCTCAATATCTAGATGATGTTTCGTTTCATTTACTAACTTCAATTTTGCTGGAAGGACTTTTCATCAACGTGAAGCATTAAAAAATTAATGTGCTCAGTCTCTGAATTTAGGGTTGGGGAAAGAGAGAGATGTAATGGTTGAAACCAATTTACGATTTTTGTGTCATACTTATGTTTGATTCGATGCATTTTACAGGCGATACCTACAATTTGTTTGCATTCCCATCAGAATGCAACTTTTCAGGTCTCAGATTCAACCTAGACCTGGTAAATGTTGTCAAGGAAGATTCATTTGAAGTACCAGGAACTTCTCTGCATCCGAGGTATGAACATGTAATGACTAGGCTACTTGTATATTGAAATCATCTTTGTTTTTCCCCCCATTAGGCGTCATCTTCATATCTCAAGTTGAGAACTTATGTTGTATGCTCCCACATGATATTTTACAAATCATTGTAATGCAGTCTTAATACCCTATCCGACTCTTACAGATCGAGTTTTTTATTGAATAAAGCAAGTTGGTACTTTTATTGAATTTACAATTGTTTTACTATCTACTACCTGGTAGTACTGTAACCTTATTTCCCACATGCTGTTCTCAAGTGAAAAGTTCTGCTAGAATTGATAGCACTTTTTTTTTTTAATATCTTTGAACAGTTGTAGGTGGATGATTTTGATTGATGCTGCTAAAGGAAGTGCTACATCACCACCTGATTTATCAAAATATAAGGCAGATTTCGTTGTTGTCTCATTCTATAAGGTATAGCAGTACATGTAAGATCTATAGTCATAATGATTGCTGCTTATCTCATCTTTGTTCTCTACAGCTATTTGGCTACCCAACTGGGATTGGAGCTCTTATTGCCCGAAATGGTAAGTTCTTGACTGCAAGATAATCTTTCAAATTTCCTTTTCTTTTTTACCACTACTTTTTTTGGAGTTCTATGATCTTTTGGCAGCTGTAATTGTGTTTTTGTTATGAATTTAAAAACTAAAAATTCTCCCTTTCCACACCCAAAAAATGGGAAACAGAGGCTGCTATGTTACTGAAGAAGACATACTTCAGTGGAGGTATTTCTGTAGACTAAAGCTCACATTGATTTTTTCAGTAAATAAATGATAGTTATTCCTTGAATTTTTTTAATTATTTCAGGCACAGTGGCTGCATCAGTTGCAGACATTGACTTTTACAGAAGAAGAGATGGCATTGAGGAACATTTTGAGGACGGGACCTTATCCTTTGCTAGCATTGCATCTCTTCGCCATGGATTCAAGATACTCAATGCATTAACAATGTCCGGTATCTCCAGGTTGGATAGGATTTTGATCTTAGTTAATATATCTAGAGATTAAGAACTACCCAACTATCCGAAAAACAATCTTGCTAATATATCTAGAGATCCTCCGGTGTTCATGAATTAAAATTCATGCTTGGGTGGTCAGTGTTTTGATTTGTCATAAAGGATATTTTTTTGTCTTTTGGGGTCAATTTTTAATCTGGAAGAGGACATGCAATTCTCTGAATGTACAACAAACCTACATGAACGAGTTTTGCAGCATTTTCTATTCAATTGATATGTTGTAGCTAAAGCAATGTCATTGTGAATGTGTACGACGGAAAAGCTTACAAATCACGTAATGATTTTTCGGACAGTTAATTTATCTTTAAAGTTGACCTCTTTGGTTTTATGGGTTTGTATTCCATAGTGGTGGGGACAGGCGTTCTAAATTGAGCTTTTGCATTTTATGAAGGCATGAAATGTCGCTTGCCTCGTATGTTAGAAGAGCACTCTTGTCTCTTACACATGTAAATGGAAATCGTGTTTGCACAGTCTATGGCATAGATGATCCTCAGGTTAGTCTTGCATTCTTCTACAGAGGACATATATTTCAAGCAGACAAGTTTCATTTCCATTTATTTTTATTTTTTTTTTTTTGGGCAAGAAAGTTGATATAACTGTTGACTGACGTGAAGAATTAGTGAATGAATGATAGAGGTAGGTTCTAGTTGCAAGATGATGTTGATATCTTGCTATGAATTGTTAGTCATCTTGTGCTATAATGGGAGGAATTTCTTGCCATTAACTGTTTGAATGCTCTTGCTTGTACTTTCCACGAATCAATTTGGATCTTGACCTTTTGAATTCGGTTATCTTTTTTAATATTACTGTCACTTTTACTTAATTTGAATGTATGACATTTCACCTCAGTTATCAAGCAATAAAATGGGTCCTACAGTTTCATTCAACTTGAAAAGGCTTGATGGATCTTGGATCGGCCATCGGGAGGTGGAAAAATTGGCATCCTTGTCCAATATTCAGTTACGGGTTAGAACTACAGTCTCAATACGGAAGCACGTTATTTGTCTTTGTACTTTCTACATTTCCTATTTTATCCAGTGGGCTAAACAAGCTATAGATCTATTTGAAGTTTTATGTAGTGTCACTATATTTAAAGTTCAGCTGTATTTTTCATTTTGACACGTTCTGTAACTCATTTGCAATCATAACTTTCATATCTTTCATAAGAAAGATATGCTTACTTGATCCAACTTTTCAACTGACTTTTGGACGGTTTCTCTCTCTCTCTCTCTCCATTTTTCTTCTTTTGTTTAATCAGTTTATTGGTCATTGTATGATTTCAATGTTAAATTATCATAGACATGTAATATTGTGTTAGGTTCGTGCTCATATTTGGATTCATGTTTTGTTTTGTATCTAGTGGTTAAGATCTAAACCAGAAAGGTTTTGTTTTGTTTGCAACTACAGTGTCTCACTTACTTACCTCCTCGTGCAATAGATTTCACTAGACCTCGTGCAATAGATGTGTTATTAAATCAGGCATTTTTATCTTTTTTTTTTTTCCCGTCCTTTTCTCATGCTTAGACAGGATGCTTTTGTAATCCTGGTGCGTGTGCAAAACATCTTGGTTTGTCCCATTCAGACCTTCTTTCCAATGTTGAGGTAAATTTTGCAGTCAACAGTACTAAAATTCGGATCATCAACTACATTTCGTCGGAGTTTCCCAAAATTTTCAAATTTAGGCAGGACACATTTGCTGGGATGATCAAGATATATTGCATGGGAAGCCAACTGGAGCTGTTAGAGTGTCGTTTGGTTACATGTCAACATTTGAAGATGCCAGGGTATCATAAATTTCCAAATTTGAGGAATTTAATTATTACTTTATGCTAACTACAAATTCATCACATGTTCTATCTTATTTTGAATGATATTCACATTCCTTATTTGTCGGTAATTTATGCTTCTATAATTTCCTTTTTCCATTGTTGTGCAGAGGTTCTTGGAATTCATCAGGAGTTCCTTTGTATCATTAACTGCTCAAGGAATGTGTAGAACACCACATATAGCTGAAGGTTATACATGTTTGCATAATACTATACAATTTACTATTCACACCCTTCACTTATTATGACATTCATTGTGTTTCATTCGTGGGGGTATGCCTGAAGTTGACTTGTAAAGTCCTGTGTATCTTGATAGCACAGCACATACTATGTATTGACTGATTTTTCTGTGTACACTTGTTTAACTGCAGGCATCGAGAGAGTAACTGCAAAATGCTCTCTCAAATCAATTACTATTTATCCAATAAAATCATGTGCAGGATTTACCGTGGAGAGCTGGCCCTTGACTAGCACTGGTATATGAATGTGTAAACTGCTTAAAGTTCTGATTTGATGCTCACTGTACTCTCCATTATTCTTTGTTTTCAGTTATTCTTTGAAAAAATTAATTACATGGCTCCAGAAAAAAACGGTGGAATGAACTTGTGAATTTTATAGTTAATTACCTGCTCAACTGTCTACTGGGATATTTTTTAAGCTGATACTATATTCTTGGGCACTACGTAACGTCTGCAGTGTTCAAATAAGTAAAAGGTGTATTGAAGTTCTTGGGGAACTTTTATACGATAACCAAGCTAAACACAAATTTTGTTCGCTCTCAGTTTTAAACCGGCAGTAACATGTATTGATGAAAACCTTCATTGTAATTTATTATCTTTGTGGAGCCATGAAAAACCGTTCAGTGTGTACTTGTTCCACGAAATTTTACCTGCTGTATTTGCTCCCGAAAAATTCAGGGTTGTTACATGATAGAGAATGGCTTCTCAAGAGCTCCAGTGGAGAAATTTTGACCCAGAAAAAGGTGAATTTAATTTTTCATGAGAAATATGGTGCATTTTTATTGTTTAACTGTATGGTCATATCTTTTGTTTATGTAGCTAGCATCTTGGAAACTTTCTCTAGGACAAAAAGCTAATTTTATCATGCCAGTCATAGATTATGTTCATCACATCCTAAGTGCTAATCGACAGCTTTCTTATTAAGGTGTATGCATATTTGTCTAATTTTTTCTCCTGTTATCCATAATAAAGATCAAATAAGTGTTCGTTATTTATGATTGTAAAATGTTTGTGGATGGTTTGATTTGATACGTTGAAAAAGCTGATTTTTGCTTGCATCTGAGAGTTACTTATTTTGCTTCTAATTATTTCCTTTCCATTTGAATTTTCCAAATCTTAGGTTCCAGAATTGGGTTTTATTACTACTCTGGTTGATCTCAAATCGGGACTACTCATAGTAGAGTCATCACGCTGCAAAGAGAAACTGCACGTTGAACTCAAACCAGGTCAATCTATTGCTGGCAGAGAAGTTATGGAAGTATATTCTCAAAGGTTTGAGTTCTTTTATTTCCTCTTTAATGTTGATGTACTATTAGCATGACTAGATATTATGGGTGATTTTTTTTTTTTTTTTTATTATTATTATTTTTTTTTTTTGTGTGTCTTGACTAGATATGAAGTCCAAGGATATAGCAATGAGGTCGATATATGGTTTAGCAATGCTATTGGCCGGTCATGCAAGCTCGTCAGGAGTTATTCTTTTCCCCAAAACCTTGTTTGCTATCCAAGTAGAAACATAGAGGGAATGTGCAGAGATTTCAAGACGAGATTGAATTTTGTCAACGAAGCTCAGTTTTTGCTAGTAACAGAGGAAAGCATTGCAGATCTGAACAGCAGATTGAAATCGAGTATATGCCTTATATTCCTTTCTCATGCTACCAATATGCATATTTATAGACTTTTTGCCTTAAAATGATGTTCGACTGAACAAATACTCAAGTTTCAATGAAAAATAACCCTCGTTTTTTTTTTATTTGTTTATAATATACTTTAACAAGAGTGGCAAACTGGTTCTAATAACCACCCTCCCGAGATTGACCAAAAAAGATTCCGTCCGAATTTGGTTGTGTCGGGTGGCGAACCCTATGCAGAAGATGAATGGAGAAATCTCAAGATTGGGGAGATTAATTTTTCGGTTAGTTGCTCGTTTCGTAATCTGGAATTTCTATATATAATATTTGTGTATCTAAAATTCCAATCGTGCAGTCAATAGGGGGATGCAACCGTTGCCAGATGATCAACATGACGTTCAAATCAGGAGCAGTGCAAAGATCAAATGAGCCATTAGCCACCTTAGCATCTTACAGGAGATCAAAGGTCTCAGCAAAATCAATCTCACTTAGTAGACATTATTCTTACATTAGATTAGATCTTTTTTTTCACCATTTTATATTTTTGTGTTTATTTATTTATTTATTTTTCATTTGTTTCGATTCGGATGGAACAGGGGAAGATACATTTTGGAATATTGTTGAAATTGCGCGATTCAGTCGAGCCTGATGCATGGCTTCGTGTGGGACAAGAAATAGTCGCAAACGCAGATTAATTTGTGAAGGTAAATATTGTAAAAAACCCGCTTTTGGAGTGTGTTGTAAAAATTGCTGAGTATATATATATATATATATATATATATATATATATATATATACACACACACTACATAAATTGTGATGCACTACATAATAATATAGTTCTATTTTAGACCCATTCTAGAGAGAATGGGTCTACAGAGCGGACAGCTTCTGATTGCATTGGTGAGATATTATAAATAAAATGAAAAGGAGTAAAGGAACTCTCTCTCTCTCTTCCTATCATTTAAATTATTTTCTCTATATATTATATTTTAATTGTTCAAAGTTCATTCTTAAAGATCACTACAAAAAGATTGTGATATTCCAGTGGAAAATCCCATGGTAATATAATCGAATGGATGGAATTTGATGATTCCAACGACTATTTACGTAGGAATTTTCGTTGGAATATGCAATTTCTGTTGAACTTTTTATTATCATATGAATAAGGAGAATTATATGGTCCGAGGTACAAGGTTTTAAACCTGATAAAAACGGATTAAACAAGTACATCATAATAGTGGAAAATGCTACGGTCCCGTTACGGAACCATTTCGCGGGGTTTGTAACCGTTAGATCAATTATCCATGACATTCGTTTCACCTGACATTCGTTTATTGCGGATTATAACACATAATGATTATGACATTCGTTTCACCTGACGAATATTGCGGATTTTGACAGTTGCATTTTAATGTTTGATTATTAATAATTATTTGCAAATTCTATCTTTTAGAATATGAGATGATATTATATTTATTTGTGGAGGTCAATTGATGCTTTGACTTCGTGCCAATAGTAAATTCTCGAGTCTCACAATATATTCATAGCTTTGACTTTTTTTTTTTTTTTTTTGTGTGAAATAGACACTCCCGCATGTGTGTAACTGTCTTATTCTGACTTGATCAAAATAATACATCTGGGCTGATTATGCTTTAGTTTTATCTTCTATTGCTCACAATTTTTTTTAATTTTTTTTCCCTAATAGTTTTTAAAAATATAAAGAAAATATTCAATAAAAATCGATAACTACTCGATTGGGTCTTGTCTGAACGTGTAGAATATGTGCGCTCTTGGATGCTCGTTTTTTGCTGCATGCATATTGTTAATGTGTTTAAATGTAGTTAGTTGGGCAAGAATTGTGACAAGAGAGAAAGACAGTTTTTGTTGTTGTTGTCGCGTTTCTTTAAGTGAGTTACCTTCTCTTCGCAGAACGACGTCGTCTTGGTTAGTTGATGTATGTTAAATGAGACGACGTCGCTTTAAGTAAATTAGGGATCTTTTCATCGTCTTCCTCACGAGTGCTATAAATGCGTGCATGTCCTGTACGTATGACAATGATTTTTGGGGACGCAGAGAAAGTCTCGTTCTACAACTCAGCCGGCCCGGTCTACAAATCTATTCTAAACTCTCAACGAATTCTTAGAATTTTAGGTGGAATGGGAATTGTAATTCTTTCTACGTCTCTTATTTCACATAATGGCTGCATACCTGCCCGATCATTGTGGGTATAATGGTAGATGCGCGGGACCACGTTACTATTATTTCTTTTTTGTTTTTTTATTAATCTTATCAATTTTTCTTAATAGAGGTTTCCTGTAGGAATCTTTAGTCGACGTGTCTCCGAATATTCTTTGATCATTTCGTCCAATCTCTTCAGAACGACCAATGAAAATCGTATGAACATCATAATGAACATCATACATTGAAGCGCTGTTTGGTTGTGAAACTGAAGGTTTTATTTATTTTTTTCATTATTATTTTTTTGGAAATTAATTAAGCTTGATATCCTTGCTCTTCTAGCAATTCATGTACCCCTACACTCATGAAACAATCCACGTCAAAGGAGCTCCCTTCAGGTTGTACAAAATTGGAGTTTTTTTTTCAATACAAGGTCAGATGTGTAAACTATTAATTCGAAGCCTGAATTTACATCTTATTTTAGTTACGACGCAACTATTACTCTCAGGGGTGGATCTGGGCGAGCCCGGCAATTGCCTAGGATCATTTTTTTGTGCTAACTATACATAGTTAATATGTGCCAATAAAGATTTTATATTTAATATGTGTAAAACTATAAATACAAGTTTTTATTTTAAAATTTTAAATATTCTTACAAAATTATATTATTGTTTTATTTAAAATGATATACCTCACCAGCATATTCAAAGATATTATATTATAACATTTTTAGTACTTATACCATATAGGGCTTAATAAGTTTGATAGATAAATTTATTGTTTTTAAATATGATGGATAAATATTTAAATTTTTATTAATAGAGATCAGGTGGATATAGTTATTTTTATATATATTCAATATGAATGTCAAATTTTACATTGTCAAAATATGACTAATTTAAGTTATCAAATAAAAAAAATGATAATATATGCACATGTTATTAACTTTTAAAATATATTTACAATTTAAGTTATCAAACGTTTAAACGTGAAAGTTCTGGATAAAGATCAATATTTATATGGACTATTTCGAATCCTTAAAATTTAACATATCTAATTACAAAGCGTTGGAAATTGTGAAAAACTCCACACACACACACACACACACACACACACACACACACACACACATATATATATATATATATATATATATATATAAAAGAAGATAACCCATAAGGAAATCTTTATAAATAACAAGAACGAAAATAATGACATTTAGGTTTTTCTTAAATTAATAAATTACATCTCAAACTGACTCGTTCCTTTTTCATTACAAAAATAAAAAATAAAAAAATGAAGAAACGGATTGTAGAATATTTTTGTTATATTTCTTGATGATAATAAAAACGCAAACTAAAATAACCAGACATCATTTTCAATTTCATTTTTAGGTTAATTGCTAAATAAACCTTAACCTTTTTGCGTTTGGCAATTTTATCCCAAACTTTGGGTAATTGCAATATAATCTCGACCTCAGTTTACTTATTGCAAGTCGAACTTAAAACCGGTTGGACCTTAAAAAAATTGGTCGATTTGAAGGCGATTCGAAAAGATCGGAGCTCATATTTATCGGTTCACTCTAGATCTAGGAGGATACTCATCACCGGTAGTTTACATTGACGTAGAATTTTCGGCTTTGTGCGTGGATATACATTAAATACGTGGATATTGTCAACTTGCTACATGGATGGCATAAAAATCCGTGTCAGTGGAAGACTTGGACACAAAATTGGTCTACAAATCCGTGAATTCATTCACTCTGCACCTTATTGCACAATTGTGATCGAGATTATATTGCAATTACCTAAAGATTGGGATAAAATTGCCAAACGCCAAAAAGTTAAAGTTTATTTAGCAATTAACCTTTCATTTTTTAGCATCAAGTCAAAGACAAATTAGATAGAGAACCCCTCAACACCCGATTGTTCTAATGATTTATTCAATTGTTAATATAAGTACTTTGTGCAATATTGTTAAAAACTTCTTCAAATTAATTTTGTCCCGGCTCTTAAAAATTTCTGGATCCACCGTTTGATTACTATATCACCCCGAAATTTATAAGGTTAGTATGTGGAATTCTAAAATGATAGGATGTCAACTTAAACCAAACTATTCATATTCATCCCGATAAGAGTATAAATATTTATTTATTTATTCTGCTTTTACATGGTTTTTCAAGCATCCCTTCCTATTTGCAGCATTTATATATATATAT